TGTTAATTTGCTCAAAATTGAAGCTTCATTACTAAGACGTCCATACTTGGCACAAAAAGTATCACTTAAACTCCTAATAAAATAAATATCTATTTATTAATCATTTACATATTTGTTTTATCAGTTTCAAAATACGACAAATCCTACCCTTGACTCTTACAGTGCTATAAATCCATAGGTTGGCATCAAAGCACGACAACTCCATTTTCACATTTATAATTTCACCATCTCAACAACGAAGCATTTGGTGTTTGTTGTTGTTTCGACTTAAAATAATATAAATCATCTAATCAAAAATAAGAACTTTACGTTAAATGCACTTACAAATGTGTGACAGTCTTTTGCGTTTTTTTCAAAACATAGTGTGAGGAAGTTAATGGGTTTGATTCTTGATGCCTCAACTTTGGTGAATGTTCAGTGAGTAGACCAAATTTTGTACACTGACTTCTTCTACAGTTTACGATTTCTCGTATTTTCTTAGGCCATTCTCAAGACATTCCCATATTTTGGAAGCAAGTTATACACCAAAAAAGTGCCGCATATTTATTTCCAACTTTTTGAAAATTATCTATGCTCTTCTCAAGGCTAGCAAAGGCATACATATCTATTTCTTTCTAACTTGACATCGCTGTCAGTCGTGTCCTCACTCTTAAGAACGACATACTCTGTCAAAGCACTCTACTTCAGTCTACTTCAGTGTAGTAGACCAAAACGTCGACAATTTAACACCAGTCGATACTAAAAACTCAAAAGCATGCACGTGGAGTGTTTTGTAAAGAAAAAAAAGTATAGACTGGAGTCCGACACGTTTGTCACTGAAACTGCAAGTTTTTTGAAAGGTTTCGGTTTTAACATCAAAAAGCGAAATGGAGGACTATCAAGAAGAGAAATCAAAACAATTTGGAATTCGAAGGAAAAGATTTTCCAAGAAAAGTTAACTTGTTCAAGATTCGAATAAAAAAAAATCAAGAAGATTTACGATAATTGGGATGGTAATAAAGTTATTAATGATTTAGCTGGTTCTTCCAGAGAACTTTATAATATGTTAAACGTTACTTATGCTTTTTTGAATTTAAATCAGGTTAATCAAATCCCAAATAATAGGAATGTCTTCCTTGACCTTATATTTACGAATTTAAAGCGGTTGGACATATTTAAAGTGGAAGATCCCATTTTTGATGACAGTCACCATCATATCCCATATTCTTGGTCCGTTGACATCAACTCCCCGACAATTTTGATATTACAAGTTGAAGTTTTTGATTTTGCCAATGGCGATTATGCTCTTTTGAACGACTATCTTGCTTCCATTAACTGGGATGTTTGCTTTCAAGGCAAAAATTTAAATGACAAAGTTTTAACATTCTACGATATACTTTTTGCGGGCATCACTCATTTCATTCCCACGAAAATATTAAGAACTGGCTGTTCGTCTTACCCAAGATGGTTCAATAAGGAATTAATCGAATTATACAAAACGAAAAAGTCAGCCCATTCGGCATTTCAAGTTTCTGGCAATCTTGAGGATTATTTATACTTTAAATCTGTTAGGTCTCGTTGTAAAGAACTTAATGACAGTCTTTATACTTCCTATATTCGCAAGGTGGATGGTTGTATATTGAATGATCCGACATATTTTTGGAAGTTTATTAAAAGCAAAAAGGATTGTAGTGGTATTCCGAATGAAATGTTTTTTGATGAAATATCCTCTTCAGGTGGTTAAGACATTTCCAATTTGTTTGCAGATTTTTTCTCATCAGTTTATGATAAGGGTAATAACGACGATTTGGCTGATAATTTTAATTTTTGTCCTAAGACGGAAGTAAATGATGGTGGTTTGAGGGTAACTAATAGGGATGTCTTTGATTATATCTCAGTTATGAAATCTTCATTAAGTCCTGGTCCTGATGGCATTCCTAGCTTTTTGTTAAAAAAGTGTATTTGTACGATTACGTTGCCATTGTGTTCTTTGTTTGAATCATCTTTGCTTGAATGTAAGTTTCCTGAGATATGGAAAAATAGTTATGTAACTCCCATCTATAAATCAGGAAAACGTGATTTAATTATTAATTACAGGTGGGTCTGCAATCAGTCCGCAATTCCTAAAATGCTGGATTTTTTAATTTGTAAGCAAATACAGTGGATGTCAGTTAATGTGTTGTCCGATAAACAGCATGGTTTTTCCAAAAACAGGTCTACTCTGTCGAATTTATTAGAGTATTATTGTTTTTTGAATGATGCCTTTGCGGAAAGGCTGCAGGTGGATTCTGTTTATACAGACTTTTCCAAGGCATTCGATAGGGTTAACCATAGACTTCTCCTCTTTAAATTGGGTAAATTGGGTTTTAGGAGTGATACTGTGGAATGGTTCAAATCATTTTTATCTAGACGAGTACAGCAAGTCAGAATTGGTCAATATCTATCAGAACCCTTTTTAGTTTCTTCAGGTGTGCCTCAAGGTTCACATTGTGGCCCAATATTGTTTCTATTATTTATTAATGATATAATATTTTTGCTTCAAATACTCCCGGGTTTTGATGTTTGCTGACGATCTTAAATTGTTTAAGACAATTAGAAATAATGATGATGCTTCAGATCTTCAATTGGATTTGAAACGTTTATACGAATGGACCATTATTAATATGCTACCCCTCAATATAAAGAAATGTAACATTATATCTTTCGGTAAAATTAAAACGATCATTACAACAGATTATTATCTTGGTGATTCTTCAGTCTCTAGAGTTGAAGAGGTGAAAGATCTAGGGGTCATTTTTGATTCTAGACTTACTTTTAACCCTCATTATCAATTAATTTTTAACAAAGCGATGAATATGTTAGGTTATATATGGCGTCATTGTAAAGAGTTATCCCCTTGGTCTTTGAAAACTTTATATGTATCCCTTGTTCGCCCACATCTTGAGTACTGTTCTCCCGAATGGCGGCCTTATTACAATGTTGATTCTTGTTTGTTGGAAAGAGTTCAGAAAAAGTTCTTTAGGTTAATTGAATATAAATTTAATCGAAGTCATCGCCAAGGTGACTACAGTTGGATTATGTGTACTCTCGGCATGAATTCTCTTGAGGACCGGCGCAATATAGCCGACGTAAATTTTTTGCATGGGATTATCAATGGTTACATTGACAATCCCGATTTATTGAGTCAATTAATGTTTTGGGTGGCCCCGACCAATTCTAGAAACACACGTAGCGTAGTTCTGTTTCGTGTCCCATTGTACAACTCTTTCAGAGCTGGAAATCATCCTTTATTGCGTATGATGAGAGAGGCTAATCGGCTGGTAAATCATGATCAATTTCTATTGTTTAATACAACCAAAGGGAAATTTAGAAATAAAGTAAGAAATTTGTTAACCTCTTAGCTTGCGTCTAAACTTGTTAAGAATATATATTCTGTTCTGTATGTTAGAATATGTTTTGTTAAATTTTGTTAAATTTAGGTTATTTTATATCTGTTTTTTTTTTTGGAAAGTTAACTTTTATTTATTTTTGCGTTTATATTTAATTTTTATGTCTTTCTGAATCTTTTTGTTTCACTATTAATTGTATGTATCTTAAGGGGTATCCCGTTGAATAAATAAATAAATAAATAAATAAATAAATAAATTTTTGAAAATGTTCCTAGGAGAAAATTTTTTTTTTTTAATTTCACGTAATTCGCATCTTATCGATAAAAAATTAAAAATGAAAAATCCAGTGCTCTGATCGGCTAAAATGTTCTGTGGGAAAATGGTCGTCTAAACTGCTTTTGATTTCTCAAAATTTAAAAATTCAAAAAATTTGATTGGTTTAAATTTCCTGAAAAAAAAAATGGTCTAAAATGTATACAACTCTATTTAAAAACAAATTTTATACATGAGAATTTTTCAGCTGTTACCTGTTAAACAATACTTTTCAATCCTAATTTAATCAAACAAAATAACCAGTTATCGACTTCCTATTATTGTATTGAGTTGAGTTATCTTTCCAAAAACAGCTTAAGGTGTTTGTGTTTATATTCAATTTATACTTTACTACAATACACGTTGTAAATGTGTTTCGATATCGACAATGTCTGTCGTAATCAGGTGCTGTCTGTCAATGTCATTATGTAAACAGGCTTGTCGTAAAAGCAGTTAGCTCAGTTGCGACCCGCGCTATTGCCGAGGGTGGAAGAGCAAAGCAGGCGTTGGCTGTAACAAACAGCTATAGCCGGGATTTAGAAGACGCTGATTAATGGGATTCAAAGCTGGTTAATTCCCACCAAACGCTCTGCCAAAACTCCCGGGAAGCAACATTAGACGGTGACGGCAAAGTGCCATCAGCCGCCGACTTAATCACCGTCTCGACGCAAGGGGGCAAAATCGCATGCGTATTACACTGCTGTAATTTACAATCTTGAATAGATGGCTATGAAACGGTCATGGAGTCCTGCGATTTGCCAGAATGAAATTGTTTTTGATGCTCTTCTCAGTGCCTGCTGGATTAGTCACAGCCATCAATTTCGAGCTTAAATGTGCCTACAAACTGAAAGTTCTGCGTTTTTTCTTTTTATGTAGGTATTTTTTCGCAAGAAAATGTAAAAAAAGTCATTGTTTTGAAATACTAGTATCATCAAAAATCATGTAAATTGACTTAATAGAAATTTGTCTTTTGATATTAAATGGTGCTTCAGAGAAGAATTCGAATTAAATTTTTTAACTAGTGTCAGACAATCTCATTTATCTAGTCGATCGTGCAGGTTGAACTTTTGCGATAAATTCCCCTGACTACTCAGTATGCAGGAAGCACAAGTGTTGAAGAACTTCGCAGTTTCGGTAATGTTCATCGAGAGCTTTCTCACTTCTCCCAGGACTCGCTTTCCTAACTTTCATCCTTTACCCCACACCAGCAAAACCCTCCTACTCCCTCGCTTTCGCACTTTTGATAATTTAATAACACTTTGGAAATTTAGATTGTTCGCATATAACCTATTCAAATTGGATTGGATAATTTCTACTTACCATCTTTATTCATTCCCATGGCCAAACATTTTTTTAAACGGCAGGCTTGGCATTGATTCCTGTGAGCTTTGTCTACTATACATCTTCCAGTTCCAGCCTGACATCTGAAATTAAGTAGGTGTTGTTTATATTGTAAAAAACAAAATTTGTACTATCTTATCCTATTGTTAGTTCATTATTACAGTCATGATCAAACTATACTTCCTTATACACGGTGTTAAAAAAATGGTGCACCAACTCTATGACACGTTATTCAGGACTGTTTATGGATCAAAGAAGATATAATTCAAGAATCTTTGGGCTTGAATGTAGTTGTATTTTTGGAGGTATTTTGTCTGTATCCACCGTTTTCTTCACTTTATAATACAACAAAAAACGTAAAAATTGTTCAGAATGGCTAATTTTTCACGTTTTCTGATCTATCTCAATCGGTATTTTGTTTTTGTAAATGAACGTCAAATTGACATAAGGAATTTTTTCGAATTTTGACGTGTGAATTTAATAATGTACCGTTTCGTTGGTGCACCATTTTTTGGGCATCATGCATATAAATATCGTATAAACGTGTAGTTAACATTTTCAGAATGGATATATAAAGTGTTTTTTTTTTTTATTTAAGATGCATGTATGTTACAAAATAAAGAACTTATTGATGATACTTTCAATTTTTACTTCCCGAGCGTAAGCAAAGGAAGTATTGTAATCGAGTCCGTCGGCCGACTCTCTACTTTTACGTTTTCTCGATCTTTCATGACCCCTAGAAGACGAAGAAATAGGTCTCCCATTTCCGTCTGTCTGTCCGTCTGTCCGTCTGTCCGTCTGTCCGTCTGTCCGTCTGTCCGTCTGTCCGTCCGTCTGTCCGTCCGTCTGCCGTCCCGGATTTTTATTAGACAGATAATCTCCGAAAGTACTCGACCGATTGTTGTGAAATTTTGTACTTATATTAAGAATATCATGTAGATGGTAAAACGCTAACCAAAATTTGTCTAATCATCCCCACCACTAATGCGATGACGTCACTTCAAAATTGTACATAGTAAATGGGTTTTCAATTGTATAAAATAACATAGTATTACACATGTAGTTTACAACTCTGAATCGACTTTTCACCCGAAACGTCCAGATTTTTAGAAAAAAAATCAAAATTATAAAACAACATTTTGAAATTTAATTTTTAATCTGCTAACCAGAATGCTTTGAAATGTTGCAGATGTTTTAAGGCTATAAAGAGCATCATAAATCTTTAGTCAAAAAATATTTGCTTATCCCCTCCAAAAACTTGATGACGTCAGCTCAAAAGTTTGTGGAATAAATCATATCTAAAATGTACAAAATATGATGAGTCTGTACTTGTGATCTATCACTCCATTCATATTTTTTGGATTTGCATATACAGGGTGACTCAAAAAAATTAATGAATGCGTAAATATATTTTATTGATTTAATCAGGAACTACAAAACCGAATGCTCTGAAATCTTGCAGATGTTTTAAGGTCATAAAGAGCATAATAAATGTTTAGTCAAAATATATTTGCTTATCCCCTCCAAAAACTTGATGACGTCAGCTCGAAAGTTTGCCGAATAAATCATATCTAAAATGTACAAAATATGATGAGTCTGTACTTGTGATCTATCACTCCATTCATATTTTTTGGATTTGCATATACAGGGTGATTCAAGAAAATAAATGAAAGCGTAAATTTATTTTACTGATTTACTCAGGAACTACAAAACCGAATGCTTCGAAATCTTGAAGATATTTTAAAATTATCTGCTGATGACCTGAAGTTAATATTATATCTTTCATTTACGGTTTATGAATCCGTGTTGAGTTCTTAACCTAGACGTCAAGATGTTTGGAAAAAAATCAACATTTTCAAATTTATAGTTATCGGAAGCCTGTTAAATCGTTAATCAAAATTTATCTGTTTATGCCCCACAGGAATTGATGATGACATCTTACAATTTTGTCGAATAAATGTCGTTTAGAGTTTAAAAATTTCGATTTCTCGATTTTTCAATATTTCAATTTTGGGCCTTTTTTTGTGAAAAAGTTCAGGGACGTAGATTCAGTTAAGTTTCTAAAATGTCAAAAATTGTCCAAAATTTGAAGAAGGGGAGAGCATTGAAAAAATTTCACTTCTAAAAAAGTCTTCTAAAAATTGTGAAAAAATTCAAAGACGTAGATCTTGACATGCTGATTCCAAAAATATGTTGATGGTCACGGAGCAACATTTTCGAAAGAATCGGTACGAAATGCGAATTTTAGAAAATTTCAAAAATTTCGTTATTTCAACGGTCGATTCCGGAAACACGGTTGCAGTTATCAAAGAAACGAAGCCAGAAGTGAGTTCTAGAGCTCGAAATGTACAAGAAAATGTATTCAGTTAGGTTTCGAAAATGTCAAAAATTTCTAAATTTTTTGAGTGTTCAATCTCTTGATTTATCAGTTTTTCCATTTTTAACTTTTCGATTTTTCAATTTTGGCCTATTTCGGTTTCTCAGTTTTTTCTTCTCGACTTTTCGACTCATTGATTTTTCGATTTTTAATTTCTCGATTTCTCAACGTCCCAATTTTTGAATTTTTCGATTTGCTGGTTCTTTGATTTTTCAATGTTTCTATTTTTGAATTAGATTGATAACATTGACAAAAATTTTAGTTTACAAATTCCTCAGCATATCCAATCTTCTGTTTTCATTACAAGGTCCTCTACTTTCTGGCATTTTCCTTTTATTTATCGTTTTTTGTGTTTTTAAAAATAGTCGAACTCACAATAATGGAAATCTTTTCAAAATTTTGAAATTTAAATTAGATTAATTTTTTAAATTAAAGTAAATGGCTGAACAATATTAAGGGTAATCACTGGAATGAAGAGAGAGTGGGTGGGCGGGGCTATTGCTTGCTTATAAAGACTCTGTAAGAAAAAGTGAAACTTCCCCACCCGTTCTCACTTTTCTCACTACTTTTTATTAGTTCCCATTCTCACTCTTGAAACGAACATATAATTAACCCCGTCCTCCAACCCCGCCTTGATTTCAGTGATTCATTTCATTTAGTCCGAATGAAAAGTGGATCTCAGACTGAATTTTGTAAATAACTTACCCTCTAAGAAAATAAAGGGTGGGTGGGCGGTGATAGTACCTGCTAAGATAAGACTAACTGTGGAAACTAACATACCTTATAAGAAAAGAGGGGGCGGGGCTATTGCTTGCTTTTAACTGACTCTGTAGAAAAAGTTAAACTTACCCCGTCCACCCACGCGTTCTCCCATTTTTACTTCCCGAGCGTAAGCAAAGGAAGTATTGTAATCGAGTCCGTCGGCCGACTCTCTACTTTTACGTTTTCTCGATCTTTCATGACCCCTAGAAGACGAAGAAATAGGTCTCCCATTTCCGTCTGTCTGTCCGTCTGTCCGTCTGTCCGTCTGTCCGTCTGTCCGTCTGTCCGTCTGTCCGTCCGTCTGTCCGTCCGTCTGCCGTCCCGGATTTTTATTAGACAGATAATCTCCGAAAGTACTCGACCGATTGTTGTGAAATTTTGTACTTATATTAAGAATATCATGTAGATGGTAAAACGCTAACCAAAATTTGTCTAATCATCCCCACCACTAATGCGATGACGTCACTTCAAAATTGTACATAGTAAATGGGTTTTCAATTGTATAAAATAACATAGTATTACACATGTAGTTTACAACTCTGAATCGACTTTTCACCCGAAACGTCCAGATTTTTAGAAAAAAAATCAAAATTATAAAACAACATTTTGAAATTTAATTTTTAATCTGCTAACCAGAATGCTTTGAAATGTTGCAGATGTTTTAAGGCTATAAAGAGCATCATAAATCTTTAGTCAAAAAATATTTGCTTATCCCCTCCAAAAACTTGATGACGTCAGCTCAAAAGTTTGTGGAATAAATCATATCTAAAATGTACAAAATATGATGAGTCTGTACTTGTGATCTATCACTCCATTCATATTTTTTGGATTTGCATATACAGGGTGACTCAAAAAAATTAATGAATGCGTAAATATATTTTATTGATTTAATCAGGAACTACAAAACCGAATGCTCTGAAATCTTGCAGATGTTTTAAGGTCATAAAGAGCATAATAAATGTTTAGTCAAAATATATTTGCTTATCCCCTCCAAAAACTTGATGACGTCAGCTCGAAAGTTTGCCGAATAAATCATATCTAAAATGTACAAAATATGATGAGTCTGTACTTGTGATCTATCACTCCATTCATATTTTTTGGATTTGCATATACAGGGTGATTCAAGAAAATAAATGAAAGCGTAAATTTATTTTACTGATTTACTCAGGAACTACAAAACCGAATGCTTCGAAATCTTGAAGATATTTTAAAATTATCATGATTTATTATTCCATTCATATTTTTGGATTTGCATATGCAGGGTGACTCAAAAAAATTAATGAAGGCGAGAATTTATTTTATCGATTTAATCAGGAATTACAAAGCCGAATGCTTTGAAATCTTGGGAATATTTTAAAGTTATTATAAGCATGGTAAACTTTTGTTCAAAATGTATTTGTTCATCCCTCCTAAAAAAATTGATGACGTCACCCTTAAATTTTGCTGAATAAATCCTATCTAAAATGCAAAAAATATGATGAGTTTGTACTTGTGATTTATCATTCCGTTCATATTTTTTAGATTTTCTTAAGAGGTGGTTCAAAAAAATTAATGAAGTCAATTTATTTTATTGATTAAATTAAAGGCAACACTTATTATTAGTATTACACCCCAACCAACCCAATTTGGTAGACACAAAATTTGTTAAAGGAAAAACTCGGTTGGAACATAAGGGTAGCAAGCTTATTTACATCGACTTTAACATTACAGACCTGCATTTGTTTTATGCGTTCACTTGATTCCGCGAATGTGAAATAGACATGTTTATAATCAACCAATTGTGAATTTCACCGTCAAGAATTAAAATAAAACCCAATGTTTTATATAATAAGCGGAAGTCGAAGCAATAAAACCGATGGTCGTTTTGTTTACAGTTTCTCTGTTTGACTCTCAAGTATGCTGTTACGCCTGTCATCTTAAATTAAGAATGTTTATACATACACG